CCAGTGAAAGACGGGTTGACAGAGGACAAGAGGAAGCCGGTATTGACATAGCATGTGTTTTACTCATTCTGTTGCATGTGCATACACAGCTGCCACCCAGCCCTTATGCACTGATGAATGTCTCTATGCAGGCAGGTGTCAGATGTTAAGTAAGACACTTTCAGGCAAACCGTTCTCCACACTCATGAATGTTTATTTTAGAAATAAGAACAACTATTTTGTATCACTTTCATATGGTTTAACCACATAAAAATGACAATAATTTAATTTTTTTAGAGTTAGTTTGGGAGGTCTTTCTACAGAAGGGTGTTTACCTTTCCTGTGCAGTGTTCAGATTTCTTGGCAGTGCTTGAAGGGACTCTGTCAGGATGAAATCATATATGTCTAGAAAATACACTTTAGTTATAGAACCCAACAGCTTAGAATGCTTTATTTTTTACCATATGTATTGTGCATATAGAGACTGATCCAAAGCCCTTGTTTCCATAGTGTTTCGGCTCAAGACTGTGTGTTTTTCAAGTTCAACCTACATCATTTATTTTTTCCAGACTGACAGTGCAGGGGCAAGAGTACTCTGGTCTGAAGGCTCATGGCTTCACTGGGACAAGAATTCTAATTCTAGCAGCTTCTCCTGACATGAGTACCTGCTTACTAACTCATGTCACTTTCTGGTCTACCTATCTAGCAAAATTATGTGGGCTCCAATTCTTATAGCAGTGAGAGGGACATTTCAAAAGGCATTGTTGTCTCTGTTGTTATTTGTAACACACTAATGCCTAGACAATACTTCCAAGCTGAGAGTCCCATTGTGCTAGACAGTAAAGAAAGACAGAGTAAGAGATTATAGAATCACAGAGTCGCAGAATGTTTAGAAGGAAACGTAAAGATCATCTAGGTCCAACCTCCTTGTGCACCAACTTCACTGGACTGCCACAACATCTCAAATATGATACGTAATGGCTTGGCAACTTCATCTGCCAGTTCCCTCGGGACCTGCATATTTATCTCATCATGGACTTGTGCATCTTCAGATTCCTTAGATAATCTTGAACCTGATCTTCTCCTACAGGAGGTAGTTTTTCATTCTCCCAGGCCCTGCCCTTGCCTTCTGTGACTTGGGCAGTGTGGCTGGAGCTCTTGTCAGTGAAGACTGAGGCAAAAAGTCATTGAATACCTTGTACTTCTACATGTCCCAGGTGACCAGGTCTCCCGTTTCCTTCTGGATGGGGCCCATATTTTCCTCATCTTCCTTTTATCCCCAAAGTATTTACAGAGTTGCTCTTGTTACCCTTAATGTCCCTGGCCAGATTGAGTTCTCTCAGGCCTTTAGCTTTCCTAGCCTGATCCCTGGCAGCTTGGACTATTTCTCTATACTCCTCCCAGGCTACCTGAATTTGTTTCCACACCCTGTAGGCCTCCTTTTTATGCCAGAGTTTGTCCAGTAGTTCCACGTGTTCATTCACACAGGTCTCCTGGCATTCAAAAAAAACCAACTTCCTCTTTTTTGGGATGCATCACTCCTAAGTTTGGAGATTATCCTTGAATCAGCCAGCTTTCCTGAGCTCCACTTTCCTCCAAGGCTTTATCCCATGGTACTTCAACAAGTAGATGCCTCAAGAGGCCAAATTCCACTCTCCTGAAGTCCAGGGGAGCGAGCTTGATGCGCACCTTCCTCACTGCCCTAAGGATCTCAAACTCCACCATTTCATGATCACTGCAGCCAAGGCTGCCCTCCAGCCTCACATTCCCTACCAGGCCCTCCCTGTTGGTGAGGACAAGGTCCAGCATAGTTCCCCTCTTTCTCTGTTGTTACACGATAGTCTATCTTTCAGCACTAGTGGAGGATAAAAAATAGGTATAAAAAGAATGTCTCAGACCAAAACTGTGCAATTTTTCACCAGGATCTGGGAAGTAATATGGGAAGTACCAAATTGATGACTTTTAGCTGGGTTATAAAGTTGCAAGTATGCAGATTTTTCCTAAAGTCTGAACACAACATCCGTGTTGAGCTAACAAAGATGCCACTTCCACTTGCACTAGGTTCCCTTAGCTTGGTCCTGTAACTACCATATTTACCCTTTTTAAGTATAGGATTATTTCCTACTTGAATTTTAATTACGGTATTGTCAGATGCATGCAGGACATCGTGGCATTCTTTTTTACATACCATACATATTGGAAGACTTATTTCAGTTTGGCTGAAACACCCAAAATCAAAAAGAGACAGAAAAAAGCATTGATAAGGACCACATGAAATAAGACAGGAATTATTTCAGTTAACATCACATAACACTGTATAGTAAGGGTAACACTGCCTTACTTAAAAAACAAAAAACAACAAAAAAAACCCAAAACAAAAACAAAAAACAGTATTTAAAAAAAATATTTCCAATAGCACAAGTAGTTTAAAAACGAAATTGTAAATTTAGTAGGATAGTCATAGTTTAAAGTATTGCAAGAACTTGTACCTGTTACAAATAATTGTGCAGCCCTATGATTTTATTCTGTAGAATTATCACTGATATTCTTGTGCTTTTTACGACCTTGAAATTCTGCCAGTCATATACGTATGTCATTTATGATTTTGGTTACTTTCACAACTCTACTCCACTTTGCATGTCCCTACATTCTTTACTTTCCGTGTATGAAAGCCCATAAAAGACACTGGGGACTATGAAAGTACAAGGGTAAGAAAGAATCTGACCTCATATTTCCTGAGCACCTCTAAGGAATCTCCTGTTTAAAGCAGCTGGAAAGAATTGTGAACAAAACAATGTTACGGGTAGGGCAATAGATACAACCTGCAAAAGAAATTTCAAACACTGGAAAAACAAATCCTTTCTCTTTATTGAAACACAACATTTCTTTCTGGAAGAAGAAAGAGACACCATCTTCTGCAGAAGCCAAAATGTCTAAAAAGTTTATGTGGCCTGCTAGCCACTGAGATTTGAACTGCCAACAGAAACATTGTGCACTTATACCAGTAACAAACAATAAGTTGCTGGAGGCAACAGCTATTACCATCACTTGAATAAAGGAACTCTGGCAACTAACCATGTATCAAAATAGATTCTAAAATAAGAAAATGCCTTCTTTTCAGCACCTACTCAAATATCTTATTCTAGACTGTGCCAAAACTGAAGGGTAGCTGATATCCGCATCAATTCTAACTGATAACTTTATGGGAAAATCTGGGAAGACATCTCCCGCAAGATCATTCATATGGAGAACATACTCCGGATTAGCTTAACTGGTTGCCAGATGTCACTCCTATTCCACCGCTAAATAGCTCCCGGTACCTATATCAGGCTTTAGTGGCCTTTAGTGTATTATGGCCTAGAAAGTGACTATGGCAACTTCTAACTCAGTATGCAAGATGTGTTCATTGTTAGAAAGGGTTAAACAAATTTTTGTCATTGCTACCAGCAGAAACAAGGCTGTTGTCTAAAAGGGAACTACAGTGTCATTAGTGCTTATGATGATGCCCAGGACGTATCCTATCCTGTTGTAAAATCAGTGAATATCATGCGCAGATGGTGCACAGAAGGGGAGTAATGTGGCTTTTTGGTCCATCAGCATTATCACAGAGGGAGGAAAAAATATTTCGTACCTACTAGAGGTTTCAATTGTTATGGGTGTTACTGAGAGGGAGGGAACAAATGCTCAAAACAACTCCAAAATAGAGAAGTTAGAATTGTTCTGTGACTGTAGGATGGAACAACCCTGAATGATTATGTCCATAACGTATTTACTAATATGATGCATTTTAAACGTGTTGAATAGTTTCTGTTGACTACTGATCTCGAGCTGCCAGAGTGGTTTTCCTCTGCTTCTTCCACAAATTCTGCTTCATGCTGCTGAAACATGCTTCATGTTTCATGCATGTTTCATAACTTTCCTGCATTGTCTGCCTCAATTCTGCTTGGAGCCTGAGGGTGTCTTTCTTCATGATCAGTCTCTTTAGTTTCTGCCTGGTTTTGCTTTCTTCAAAGGCAGGTCCTTTGAGCCTTCCTTGTCCTGAATGCTTAATTTGCTCCCCCAGCAATCAGTTTCAATAATGTCATGCACAAAAGGAAGCTATTCTTCTGGATTAGAAAAAGTGTCAGTGTCTAGCTCTCACACTTTGATTTGACATGTGGGAGTATGTCCAGGCCAGTGTACTATTTTGCATAAAGGTGATGGGAAGATTATTTTCTTATATTCTCTTTCTGAACATAGGACTTTTTTGTGTACATATTTTTGCATATCTCTGAAGTGCATTCTTGTAGAGAACAAGAGTGGAAGACCTGATATTTTAAACAATTTTCTGTGTATGAAAGAATTAGAGGTTGTATTCAATAGAGCTCATAGAGCAAAATCTGGTTTTAACGATATAGACACTGAAATTCAGTCATCAACAAGCCTGTTGATGCAGGATTTACATAGCTAAGGTAGAGAATGGCCAGCTCAGTGACAGGTGTTCACCCAGGGGTTGAAGAGGACCTATCCCCCAGCTCTGCCATTGCACCAGTTAAGACCTTAACACTCCCTACCTCCACTGCAAGGAAAAGTCAGTCAGCAGCATAACAACTGGATCCTCTGGGAGAAATTCCTGCTCAGCAATGCATTGATACATTTCTTTTATGGACTTTCTTAATATCGTCTTCTTTTCGTTGTTGTTAAAAACAGAAAAAAAGCCAGCTGATCAAATCCATTTAGTCTTGAAATACAATGGCCAGGCTCTTGCACACCAAAAACTTTTTATGTAGGACTCAAACCTATTCCCATGATATTGCAGGAGTCCCAAAGACTTGAAGTCCAAGAGCCTTTAACAAGAACTGAAAATACAGAGGAACAGCAAATAGTCAGCCTCATCCTGCAGCTACAAGAAGGGTGACAGTGCTCCGAGAAGAGTTCCCTTTTATTTACTGCTTCTTTATGCCATCTGTCATTACAAAAAGAGAAAATTTCAGGTGACCTTATTCTCTGCTTAAGATTTTTCTCTGTTGACCCCTTCACAGATGGGAGATTGGGAAATGGAGCGCCTGCAGTCTTACTTGTGGGGTTGGATTGCAGACACGGGATGTCTTCTGTTCTCACCTGCTGTCAAGAGAAACTAATGAGACCGTCATTTTGGCAGATGAATTGTGCTATAAACCTAAGCCATCCCTTGTGCAAGCCTGTAATCGCTTTGACTGCCCACCATCCTGGTATCCTACAGAATGGCAAGAGGTAAGAATGTATGTGTAATCTCATTTTATGACTGTTAAAAGTTGCCATTAGTGCATTATGGATGCAGCATTTTGCTTTAGCTCATCAAGAGGATTCATTAATCACTCCAAGAAGCCATTCAAAAACTGAAAAAGTTTGCCTTTTTGCAATGCATCATTTTTAGAGGTAAATAATGACCATAGCTACTTCTAATGCAAAGTTACTGTAAACTATTCATATCTGGCTGTAGATTCCAGACAAAATATCTGAAACATATGTCAGCAGCTGTGAGTGGATTTGGCTTAGCAATGTCAAGGTTTCTAGGAATACAAAGCTATAGGGATTAAGGAGGAGAGAATCTCTAAAGTGTGTTGGGTATTCCATATATTCTCAAATAATAATTCAGTTCAGGATAAGAAATGCTCCCTATCCTTCAAAGTCACAAATGAGTGTTAGGCACTTCCTTCTGGGAGACGGATACCTTATTACCAAAAGGCTGAAAATTGTTGTCTACCCAATGGATCTGTACAAGGATTTCCATCTTTGGAATGCAGCCTGAAATTAGTTCATTGGCTGCCATCTGTTGCAAATAATAACACTCGTATAAATCAAAAAAAACATAAAGATGCTTCTGTTGGATATAATATTGCACAGGAAGAAAGGATCCTGCGCTGTCATCAAGAGTAATGGAAAAATTTGCTGTGTGGTGGAGTTGCAAGCAAAAGGCCTATTTAAATCTTTGGTTCTACTGAATGCAAAGATTCGTTTCATCCTATGAGAAAAATATGTTGCTTACATATGCCTATCCAGTCTCCATCTACAAAATCCCTCTCAACAGCCAGGGAGATGTTAATGTGCTCATGGAATGAAGTTGATAAGTCTGTGAAGCTGTACTCATGGGTCAGCTCTGGGTTTGAGCAGCCAACCCAGTAACAAAGATTTGTGTCACACTGACGTTCTGCCAAATCTAGGTAACTAGCCTATGGCATTAGTCCTGTTTAAAAGAATTCAGTGATATTTCATGCTTTAATTTGTCTACTGATATTCACATACACATACTTGCTTAGTCGTACTTTTGACTGTTTCTAACTATAGTCATAAATGCTATATTTGTAAATAGCAAGTAGTATTCTACTAGCCCAAAACATAATAAAGGCAAGCATTTCAAAGTTAGCATATGCTAGAGTGAGTGCCTATGGTCATTAAAATCCTATAATTGGCCAAAAAGTCTTTGCAGAAGTAAATCTTCTATAAGTTTATGTGAACAATCAGAAGAGACATACATAACAGCTTGCTGAAAAATTGATTTTCCTGTAACAATGACCATTTGCTAAAAGCCATCCTAGAATGGTACCAAAATAGTTACCACTAGAGCTATTTTAAAACAGACATTTTTCAAAATTTGAACATCTTCCTTAACTATGTGAATGCATACATTTCTGCCTGTCTAAAGTAATGGTTTGGCCATTTTTTTTATCTGCTCTCAAACATGCTGTCTTTCTGAAAGGTGTAGCAGATCTTAGGGAGGAGAGACCTCAATTAATTATGAAGTCTTTAATAAGCATATTAATCATGAGTTAAATCAAACTGCTCAGTTCACACCTTTTGTTTTAGCTGCTGCTGTCTCTAGCTGGGTGAAGAGAAAGAACCTGAGCTGCAGGTCATTGCTGCAGCTTAACAAAGGTCACGTCATAGCTCTTCTGCTCTTCCACAGGCTTTGCAGGCTGAGCAGCTATGTATATAGCTCCTCACCACTTGGGCACCTAGTATTTACTGTGCTTACCTTTCACCAGGAGAAAACATCATAAAAAATGTACTTCTCTACTTTCTACTTACTGGCTTCTGCCTCTGTTTAGATAAGCATAGTGCAAGTAAAAAAAAAAAAAACGCCTAATCCATCAAAATTAATATCCATTCTCTCATCTTTTAAAGACATCTGTCTTCCTTCTTTATACCACCTCTGTACAGTTATTTCCACCCTGTAGGAAGGCCAGGCCTTGCAGTTCACTGTCACACAGGTTTCCCTTGGATGACCTCCATGTGAAAAGCTTCAGCACCAGGAGACTGGGTTGCACTTAGGGATTATTACAGCTGTTGGGTCCTAGAATGTGTGAGGGAAAAGATCATTTAAACAAGATGTGAGTGGCTGAGACTTCTCCTGGAGGTGAGCTCCAGCCATGCAGCAGAGCTACTGTGGACCCTCCAGCAGAAGAAATCCTTTCTTTGCATTAAGGGACCCACAATACCTCCCCTCTCCTCAGATTTTTCAGAGGGTTTCCCACATATGGGGAGACAGACAGCCATGTAGGAAGGTGCCCTCCTCACCCTGAGGAAGGTCATTTAAAATTTCACCAACTCTAGAGGGTAACATCTAGTCTCCAGACAGCCTGGTTTGAAGCCATTTCTTTGGTCTCATCTTTGGAGTTTGTCATGATTTCAGAGCACTCTCTCACAATAGTTTCAAGCAAACAAACAAAACAAAAGATTTAAACTTAAGGAAGGGTTGTCTGAATTAAATGCCGTTAGAAGCCCCAGTGTTCTTGGCACATAAACACATGATAATTATCGGTGTTGTAACCTTCCAAGCGATTTTTTAAATATCTCTTTGCAGAATCAAGGCTATTTATTTTTAAATAGTTCTTTTTCTTAGCTAAATCCATTAGGATGTTTATCTTGCTTTCAGTAGTGTGCTTCTGGAGGAAGGTGGATATAATCTTTCCTTTTGTCATGGTTTAAACCCAGCTGGTAACTCAGAACCATGCAGCTGTTGGCTTACATCCCCCTAAACACCCCTTCAGGGCAGGATGGGGAGGAGAATCGAAAGCAAGTAAACTCCACAGGCTGAGATAAGAACAGTCCAGTAACTAAAGTACAATATAAAACTAATAATAATAGTAATTATTATTGTTGGGTTTGTTGCAATTATTATTGTTATTAATATTATTATGGAAATAACACGGGGAGAAAATACAAAACTAAAAAGGGAAAGGAAAAAAGAACAATCACAGCAGTGATGCACAATACAACTGCTCACCACCTGCTGACCAATACCCAGCCCAACCCGAGTAGTGATCTGCCCTTCTGGGTACCTCCCCCCAGTTTCTATACTGGGCATGATGTGCTGTGGTATGGAATACCCCTTTGGCCAGTTTGGTTCAGGTGTCCTGTCTCTGCTTCCTCCTGGCTTCTTGTGCCCCTCGTCACTGGCTGAGCATGAGAATGAAAAGTCCTTGATCCGGGTAAGCACTACTGAGCAACAACTAAAACGTGTGTTATCTGCATTGTTCTCAGACTGAATTAGAAGCACAGCACTGCACCAGCTGCTAGGAAGAAGAAAAATAACTGTTGCAGCTGAACCCAGAGCACCTTTTTACAAGTCCCTACCAATATCTACTCTGGAAACCTCAAATGAGAGATATCCATTAGTAAATGGATGGTTGCACTCAGGAAGTTGGTCTCAATGGCTAGATGCCTATGTGGAGATCAGTGGGAAGTGGTGTTCCTCAGGGGACATCATTGGCACCAATACTCTTCAACATTTTTTTCAGTGACATGGACAGTGGGATTGAGTGCATCCTCAGCAAGTTTGCTGATGACACCAAGCTGTGTGGTGCAGTCGACACACTGGAGGGAAGGGATGCCATCCAGAGGGACCTTGACACGCTTGAGAGGTGGGCCAGTGCCAACCTCATGAAACTCAACAACGCAAAGTACAAGGTCCTGCACATGAGTCAGGGCAATCTCCATCTCCAGGGCAGAGAATGGATTCAGAGCAGCCCTGAGGAGAAGGACCTGGGTATGTTGGGCAATGAGAAACTGAGCATGAGCCAGCTTCAGTGTGCACTCACAGCCCAGAAACCAACCGTACGCTGGACTGCATCCAAAGGAGTGTGGCCAGCAAGTCAAGGGAGGTGATTGTCCTCCTCTTCTCTGCTCTCCTGAGACCTCAATCTGCAGTACTGCATTCAGCTCTGAGGCTCCCAACACAAGAGGGACATGGGCCTGCTGGAGCAAGTCCAGATGAGGCGCACAAAGATGTTAAGGGGGCTGGAGCACCTCTCCTATGAAGACAGACTGTTATAGTTGGGCTTGTTCAGCCTGGAGAAGAGAAGGCTCATGGGAAACCTTACAGCAGCCTTCCAGTACCAAAAGGGGGCCAACAAGAAACCTGGTGAGGGACTTTTACAAGGAAATATAGTGATAGGACAAGGAGGAATGGCTTTAAGCTGACAGGGGTTGATTTAAGTTAGATACTAGGAAAAAATTCTTTACTATGAGGGTGGCAAGACACTGGCACAGGTTGCCCAGAGAAATTGTGGCTGCCCCATCCCTGGCTGTGTTCAAGGCCAAGTTGGGTAGGGCTTTAAACAACCTGGTCTAGTGGAAGGTGTCCCTGCCTGTGGCAGGCGGGTTGGAACTAGATGATCTTTAAGGTCTCTTCCAGCCCAAATCATTCTATGTTTATATGATTCTACTAAATCTTCATTGTCCTTTGGCTTGACACTGAATAAATGCCATAGTTTAAGTCTCTGCATTTTTTTTTTTTTTTTTTTTCTTTTTTTTTCTGTTTAGGGATATCTTTGCTCCAAAAATAGTTATGCTCCAAAGATAATTAGAACAACAGCTCGACAACACAGTCAGCATGGGAAAACAAGTAACATTTTCAGATATTTCCCTAGCTATTTTTTCTCAATATTGTAAAAAGTCATTCTAAATCTTCAAGTGTCAGGCCTTAGAAAGTGACTGGAAGACCTGCTGAAAGAAAAATATTTACTCCCTTTGCAGATGCTTTATCTTACTGCAGAGTCATAGTGGAGAATTAATTTTTGAGAGTCAGGCCAAAACTTGTACTGCTGTAGTCCCACCACCTTGAGCAGATAGCAGTGCAAAATTAAACAGCCTGGGAGAGATGAGAGTAAGACAATCCCTTCCTCAACTGTCCATGTAAGCAGGACTACCATAAAATGACATACTTTCAAACACTCAGCTGCTGCCCCAAACCGGTAAGTTATCATGCTGAGAGACAGTTGCTTAGCCCTTTGTTTTTCATTAATAATTGCCTTTTTTCACAAGTTTGAGAAGACACTAGCTTCCCTGCCTCCCACACAATAGATATTATGGGTTTGCCTTTATCCTCTTCATCGTATGAACGTGGATAGATGCTCATATCATGTGCTGAGACAGAGGGATGTCCTGATTTCCCTCTCTTATTTCAGCGGTGACCATCAGTTCTTAATTTTGATTATCATTCGCACATCGTTGTATGAGCAGAACATCACCAAAAGAATGACTGCTGTGGGTGGTGCCAAGGCCACCATTTCACCAGCAGTTTAGGATGACTGCTAATAAAGGAGGAAATAGCTGCTGCAGGGATCTCTTTCTTGCCCTTACAGCACCAACTCCCTTACATCTGCAGAAGTGCTGTGCAATCACGCAATGGTCCTGGTTAAAGCTACCCAGAAATATAATTAGTTTTAGCCTAGACTAATTTCCCACAGTTGTGCTCACTACACAGCCACACAAATGCTTATGCCAGCATATGGAAAAAGGCAGCACAAAACCAGGAATGACTGGCTAGCAGACTTGGGTTTATGGGTTTTCATCTTTGATATCGCCTTGCCTTATGTTTGCTTAAGCTAATTGTTGAACTAGGCATAATCAGGGAGGGATGTGGGAAGATGTCACTCTGGTAGTTGGTACCCTGTCAAAATCTCAGATCCCTCATGAAGAAATGTCAGGGGATATTGAGTTTGGCTCTGTTCAGAAGCTGTGGGGAGCAGGAATATCAGACAACATAGTTCAGCCACTCTTCACCTGCTTGGGAGGGTGAGTGATACAAGCACCCTGTGATACAGTACTTTCCTCTATTGTAATGGTGCTGTGGGGTCATTTTGAACAGCAGAGAGAGCACATTATTCAGATGGGAAATGTCTGAGTGAGGATCATCAAAAAACTACTGTTTCATATTTCCTGTAAGTACAAGCAGATGTTGTTGTTATTGATTAGCCCTTTTCTTGGAAAAATGTGAGGGCTGGAAGCTTGCACTAGAGAAAAATCAGCAAAGACCCCAGGGCATTGCAGACTCCAGAGATGAAATATAAGTCCAGGCACAGCTCCACTGCAGTAATCCTGGACTGTCCTAGAAGAACATTCCTTCAGACAAGGAGGAATCACATTACTGCATTTGGCTCTCTCTGGCACTTACCAATAGAGTTTGGTGTTGAGTAGCAAGTTATTCACGGAACAAACCTGCATAAGTGACTGAAGGGCAAGAAGCAAGAAAAGATCTGCTTTGTCTTATCCTTTTAACTAGCAGTGATGGAAGGACATGAAGACTTCCTGGGATTTGACTGATTGACAGAAGGAACATACTTGTGTTGTATTCATACAGTTACTAACCTATTTCAGCTCTGGTATGCGATGACAGTCCTTAGGCAATCTTGCAGTAATACCTTTAATTATATTTTTCTTGATTTACTGTCTCCTCAGGAATGAATTGTCTTCAAATGAAAGGTTAATAAATGTTTTGTTGAAAATTGAGGTATTCTTTTACTTGCTTAATTTTTTTAAGCCTTTGAGCTTTGTAGCATTCCAAGTAAGTAGTACAAAAGCTATTTTTATTCATTAGAAAGCAAACCCAACTGAATATAAATATCTTTTTCTGCACTCCCTTTCTGTCTTTCAAGGAAAATGTTCATCCTAAATAAATAGGCTAGCATTAAAGTGCATGCAGCTCTGTCTATGTAAGAGAGAAGGACCCTTCATGACTGCAAGATTTTCTAAAACAGTCCCTTTTTAACTGCTTGAGTATAAGTTTTAATACTTCTTCATACAGTTTTCTGTTTTTCAAGCGTAACTCCCATGTTGCAAGCTATAAGCAACTTCTGGTCACATCATTGAAGTGCAAGCTCCCCCTTCTTCTTTCCTAGGAGAAAAAGAGTTCAGCTAGCTGGACTGAGCAGAAGAACTGGGGGGCTTTTATCAGTCTCAAGAAAAACATCCTCAGGAGAAAGGACTACTGAGCAACCAAGTTTACAAAAAAGATTCAGGAAAGCTATTAAATCTGCTTGTTCAAAACTTCCTGCCCTGCTTGGTTAGAAAATGCATACAGAAAGGGGTATTTGATTAAAGAAAGAGGGGAGGTGGGTTCTCTGGATATTAATAATTCCAATTCACTTTGATGCAAATAAACCTTCCTTCTTTACCTTTTGGAAAGAGTACACACTGCTGTCACGACAGCCATAAGTATAAAAGAAGCATGTGGATATCTAATGGTTTATTATATTAACCTTATAAACCAATTACTGAGATTAATAGCAGATTGCAGCTGATAAACAGCTTCTGTATGAATTAAAAATCAAAGAAATGCCAAAATGAAAGAAGTCTTCAAGGACAGGAATTCTGGGCTGGACTGCTTAGTTTTAAGCTGCACTAGCAATAGACTTCATGCAGGTCAGAATCAAGAAATGAGAGAATTACAAAAAGAAGAAAAGGTAAAGTGATAAAGTGGGGAAATTTTTAGTTATCACACTCTCAAATATCCATTTGTTTTCTTGCCAATACGAGCCTTTTTTAAAAAGCTAAATATGAATATGTAGTTTAGGCTAACTATTTAGTTTATAGATACTGTTGTCTAATATTTATAATCAAATCTTGGAAATGAAGGTCTTGAATCATCTGCTGCTGGAGAATACTTTTCCACTCTCTTGGCACCGTCAGTAGCACAGTCAGAGCTCAGAAAGAGATATTAGGATGTAGATCCTCCACATGATGTGCATGTGTCTCATTTTCCAGTTGGTGTCTAAAGGAAAGGACAACTTTTCCATGTCCATACTTCCATTCTCACCTCTTGTTTCCATGTCTTTTGTACAAACACCTGAAAACAGAACATTTCAGAAATACTGAAGCAATTTTTATAGATATTAGCAAAATACACTGCTTCCACTTCCTAAAATATTTTTGACATTTATAAAAGAAGTCTGCTTTGACATCTCTGAATTATTTTTTTATATATATATTTTCTACATGGCCAAAGTTGAGTGTTGATTTGTACCCAAATTCACAAGTAATTTTTGCTGCAAGTTGTCATGGTGTAAGAGTGATGAGTGGCTGACTTTAATCTCCCACAGTGTTCACAGACATGTGGCGGTGGTGTCCAGAAGCGAGATACACTTTGTAAGCAGCATCTGGCAGATGGAAGCTTGTTAGAACTGCCAGAAACCTTCTGCTCCACACCAAGGCCAGTTATCCAACAAGTCTGCAAAAATGAGGATTGTCCCAGTGAGTGGCTTTTCTCTGACTGGGCACAGGTATGCTATTCGTATGTGTGAGTACTGTGCTGTTCTTGGTAATGAAGTTCGTCACTCATTTGGGATGGAGGAACCAAATGACCTTAGACTGCATAAAGTGTGTTATTCCCAATTTTGTCCTGTAATCTGTCCCTGTCATCCTGATAGGGGACGTGATCACTAGCTCAATGTTATTTTTTGGAGATTGCATCCACAGATGTGCTTTAGCCATCCAGCCAAACCATAAATATGACCTCCCTTCTGGCATAAACACAAGCCATGCTCAAAACAATAAATCCCTGCCTCTGTCCATGACTATGCTTATATTCATCAAAGGCATCAACGAAGAGCAATTTTTACTCCCCCGGGCTAAATGTTTCTTCTTCCCCAAGCCTGGCTGTTCTGTTGTCAATAGCTTTTTCCTTTTGGGGCCTTCCTCTGTGATGCTGAGAAGAGAAGGAAGGGATTCCTACAGTCTGCTATAGTCATATCATTACAGACTCCAAGTGTCTTTCATTCTAGAACAGTGCTTTTCGCAATGTTAGCTAGCTACTTCCTTCCTTCAGTTTAGAGTTGGCAGAATACACTCACTCTACTATATTCTCTCGCACTTCCCCAGGCTCCCTTTCTGGCCCCTACAGGCTTAAGAAAAAATTCTTTTGTATTTATAACAGTATAACTGAAAATATAATTTGACCTTTGAATGATAGTAAGCATGAAAATCATTCCTCATCTTACAGTCTCTGCCACCACTCTCCTAGTTCTCTTTCATGTAAGGAGGTGGAAACTGTATTAATTGCGAAAGAAACACCAGTTACCTAATAGAGCTGTCCCATCTGCACTCTTTATATGTTTATATATTTTGACATTTTACTTATCTAAGTAGATATTCCCATGCAGTCTGCTGCCAGGAGAAACATAGCCATTCTGGCAGTGAAGATGGTAATTCTATTCCCAATCTGTCCTCCTGCACAAGCAGTTGCAACATGATTTATGTTCTTACCTTTAGTGTATTATGTCTGTCTCACTTCATCTCCAATTCCTGTTACCCACACCTCCTGCACCTACAGAAGTGCATGTGTATCTTTGTGCTTCCAGCTTTACAGCTCTCAACCCGCTTTCCACCACCTTTACAGACTGCTGCCTGGGTCCCAGTGCAATGACACTGTCTGTGTGCTCACTTTTTATGACGCTGTATACATAAATGTAAAAAGAAATAGGCATGCTGAATTCCATTGAACAATGCCCACCAGTGCATCATGCACCACAGGTTAATAATAATTAATACTCCTTTCCGTATGACATGTGTGGTAACTACCAGCCTGAGGTAACTACCAGCATGAGGTAACATCAGGAATTTTACAGATGACACAAAGTTGGCTGGAGTGTTGATCTGCTGGAGGATAGGAAGGCTCTGCAGAGGGATCTGGACAGGCTGGATCAATGGGCTGTGGCCAGTGGTGTGAGGTTCAACAAGGCAAAGTTCCGGGTCCTGCATTCGGGCCACAATAACCCCATGCAACACTCCAGGCTTGAGGAAGAGTGGCTGGAATGCTGTTTAGCAGAAAAGGACCTGGGGGTGCTGATTGATGGAGCTGAACATGAGCCAGCTTGTGCCCAGGCAGCCAAAGAAGGCCAATGGCATCTTGGCCCATGTCAGAAGCAGTGTGGCCAGCAGGGCCGGGGCAAGGGTCATCCCCCTGTACTGGGCACTGATGAGGACACACCTTAAATCCTGTGTTCTGTTCTGGGCCCCTCACTGCAAGAGAGACATTGAGGTGCTGGAGCAGGTCCAGAGAAGGGCAATGAAGCTGGTGAAGGGTCTGGAGAACAAGTCTTATGAGAAACAGCTGAGGGAACTGTTTAGTCTGGAAAGAGAAGGCTCAGGCAGGACCTTGTTGCTGTCTACAACTACCTGAAAGGAGGACGAGTGAGGAGTTGGGTCTTTTCCCAAGTAACAAGTGATAGAACAAGAGGATACGTTCTCAAGCTGCATCAGGGGAGCTTTAGGTTAGATATTAGGAAAATTTTCTTCACTGAGAGGGTGATCAGGTGTTGGAACAGGCTGCCCAGGGAAATGGTGGAATCACTGTCCCTGGAATTGTTCAAAAAACATGTAGACAAGGCGCTTAGTGACATGGTTTTGGGATGGACTTGGCAGTCCTTCAGTAATGGTTGAACCTGATGATCTTAAAGGTCTCTTCCAACCTAGTTCATTCTATGATTCTATGATTCTTTAATTCTAATACATCTGCAACAGTAAAGCTCAAATATTAAGTTTAGGCCAGATTTTAGCAGAACAGATGTACCTGTGAAGTTCAACTCGATGTGGTCTGCTCTTGGCTGTGAGCAGGAGCTCTTCCAGAGAACAGATGCAGACATACAGAAACAATATGCAAAGACAAGCTTTGTACTGTAGCACAGTAACATTAATGCAAGAGACACCAGCTGATAGAAGAAGTACTAAATGGAGCATGGGAAGATTCAAAGCCACAAAAGACAGAAAACACCAGATTTTTTGTCTCCCTACTGTGCCTACACTGTTTGTAACTGAATGGCTGGGTGCTGCTCTGCCTTATTCCACTGCAACATTTTTAAAAGCTGTAACAGGCCTGTTCCATGGTACGAGTATGCAGTGTGAATATGGGAGGTGAGGGGGAGTGTGTGATATGAGCAACTTTTGTTTTTAATACACCTTGTTCCTAATGTTTCTTGTTCTGTGCCTAGTGTTCAGTGAGCTGTGGAGAGGGCACCCAGAGTCGAAATGCTATTTGCAGAAAGATACTGAAAACCGGGCATTTTGTCATCATCAATTCCTCACTGTGCCCACCTTTGCCATTCTCATCCTTGACCAGGCCCTGTGCTCCAGGCACCTGTACAAGTAAGTGGAAAAGATGCTTAGGAGTGTCTGGGGAAAGGGGGCTTGGATGTTCGTCACTAAGAAATCCGTGCTGTCACCTGTTCCAAACCCTTCTCTTGCACTAGTGTTACTTGGTCTTGAAAAGTGGCTGCTGCTGCTAAGTTTTTCTGTCTGCAAACAAGTATGCTTCAGCAATAAGGCAAGCCAGTGGATGAGAGCTATAAATTTTACTGTTGGAAATGGGTCTGAGCCAATATGCTGGAAGGGAGCTACTAGTTTCTGGAAGAACTGGCTCAAAATTCTGACCCAAATCTAGATCTAAATTTCACAACTGGAATGTAGAGGCTCAGTGATACAGCACAGCAGCCTGAGGGCAATTGCAAATAAACTCTGTTAGAACAGCTGCAAAGAACATGTTTGATAAGGATTGAAGATATTTAAGAACGTATTTCATTATGTCACTTGGAACCCTCTATGACCTCTATGAGATTTGTAATGAACCATAAGGTAGATGTATTTTATGTTGGTATTTCATGCATCTTTTGTTGCCCTTCACAAGAGCATTAGTTTCCCCGTACACCTTTCCCTGGCTCACAGTAAGCCAACTGGATGTGCAACAGTTTGAAAACCAGCCCAGCTTCAGCTTAAAGCTGGCTATGAACTCTGAAACTGCTAAATGTTGGGTATGTTAAGGAGAAAGGAAGATTCGACATTCAGAAGCAAGGCTACGAAAAAATGTCGCATGGTATTTGCTAATAATATATCTATGCTGCTTTATTTGAAGTTTCATAACAAAGATCTCTGTCATACAAATCTGGAAACTGTAAGGACATGCTGAACTAGTGCACTTTAATATTATTTACCATGTCTTTAAGCCTGGTCCAGACAGTGTTATTCTATTCAACATTACTCCTTGAGGTAGCAGCACTTTCACTCTCCTTACTGCTGTGAGCTGCAAGACTATATTACCTTTGAGGGTTCAGATGGTAAATACATGTCTTTGCAATGCATTTATTAATGAAGAGTATTCATTTAAATACTTTAACAACAAGAACTACATTTCCACTGAACTATTCCACTGAAGTATTCCACTGAAGATTTTGTCTCTGGCTTTCTAGTTTCTGCATGTACTCTAGCCAGAACTACTTTTGCATTCCTAAAGGCACCTTGTTATTCCTGTTATTTTGATTGCTCCAACTTAATGTCCAGCAGCTGGTGGCCAGTTTCTCCCACTATTGTCTATTAGTATGTTGAATGCTGCCAGCACCAAAGTAAACTGCTTGTTTTGTTTAATGGTATCACATACTAATAAACTTAATGATATTTCAGGGCACAACAGGCCAGCTCATAAGCAAAGCCCCCACATTATGGCCATAAAGAAAGTTTACATCCAGACAAGGAAGCAGAAGAAACTACACTTTGTTGTGGGTGGGCATGCTTACCTGCTGCCCAAAACTTCTGTAATTCTCCGATGCCCTACAAGGAGGTTCCGGAAATCAATGATCACTTGGGATAAGGATGACAAGAGGCTCATCAGCTCAGCTCACACCACCATTACACCCTATGGATATATGAAAATCAACCGTTTGAAAACTTCAGATACTGGGACATACACCTGCACAGCAGGGCCAGTCCAGGAGCATTTTGTAATTAAACTAATTGGAAGCAACAAGATCATTGCTGGGCAACCAGCTGGTATTAGGGAAGAAGAGACTATGAGAAAGCCCAGCTTAAATGAAGCCTTGAGAACAGAGGAGAAGCATATCAATGGGATTCTTTTCAATGGGAGCAAGGCTGAAAAGCAAGGGCACCTTGCTGACCCTAGCAGGTGGTATGATTATATTATCTCAAGGCTGCTGCAGCACAGGGGCTGGCCAGGGGAAAATCTGGAGTCCTGGGAAGCCCAGGAATCCACAGAGAGAAATGCATCATCAGAGGAGGACCAGAGCCGGGAGCATAGCCTGCCGTTTACTATGGTCACAGAGCAGAAACGCTTGGATGATATCGTAAGCAATTTGTCTCAACAGCCTGAGGAGCTTAAAGATGTCTACACTGAGCAGCTTGTTGTGCAACTGGCTCATGAGGTTTTCAAGAGTCACTTGGAGCACCAGGTATCTGTTATCAGAACATCAAGGAAAGGAGTAGATTCGACCTCGGTGGAGCACCCTGTCCACAGACATGTTTCTGGATTTACCAGCTCCCTGAGGACATCATCTGCTGAAGCATTCCTTCCTACCTCTGTAGACGTGGTAAAAGGCTTGCAGAGACCTCATCAAAAGCCTGCCATCCTGCGAAAGATTTCAGCAGCACAACAGCTTTCTGCTTCAGAGGTTGTTACCCACCTGGGACAGACAGTGGTCCTAGCCAGTGGCACACTGAGCGTGCTGCTTCATTGCGAAGCAGTGGGAAACCCAAAGCCCACCATCAGCTGGGCTAAGAATGGAGAGGAGGTGAAATACAATGATAGGTAAAACATCTTATTTAACTTCTTAAAAAATAACTGATATTTTGACTCTTCAGTTTTCCTGTCATATTTTGCGATAGTTTGGTTTCATATGAAAAGAAGGGCTGACACAAATGAAGTGGTAAACAGAGCACTGTAACTCTTCAGCAAGGTCTAGATACTGGGTGAGTCTGGTGTAGCAAACAAATTTGACTTCTGTTTTGGTAAGTAAGATGAAGAGTTGTAAAGTACTAACGTAGATAAATGCCTAATGCAGTCAACTCCCTGTCTGGAGGCTGTGACCCTTAGTATATTTTCCAATCTGAAGGTGGAGGTTTCTGCTATGAAGATTGGTTTTGACATATACAAATTATTGTTTATTACTATTATCCTCTGGGTGTGTCCTCATTAAGGATATGAATTGCATTTCGCACAGTGCTTCAGCAGGGTCTGTCTAACATGGCTGTAGTAGCAGAAGATGGGGGGAATGAGCCTTCTGCCTTCCACATGTGTATCTGTGTTTAAAACTGCCCCCAGATAAACCTCAGGGGGGCACTTCAATCACCATTCCCTATGTATGTTCTGATAGAGACTGGAAATTGTGGAACCATACTTCATGGCTATTTGCAGCTACACTGTCATCTCAACACACCAATCTCTAAGCATTAGTCTTCTGATATGTGTTAGTGCATCCTTGTTTGTTCAAACTCATGTGCTGGCCTAAGGTGTACCCTGTAAACTTGAGTAACAAAATGCTTTTATCAGTGCACCACAGAAATGATGCTGGTTTTCCTTCAGGTAGACTTTACCTGCCTGTCACTCCATGTTACTCATTTGTGTGCTAGAGCACACAAAAAAAGATCATTTTCAGTGCTAGTTATACGCATAAGTGTATTGATAACATACATTTTTCTCATGTGTATACTTGAGATTTTATAATTTGGTTGTGTTCTGTGAGAAAGGATAGGTAGAGAGTGTATGAGGCAGTTTTATTAAGAAACATAGTACAATAAAACAGTCCAGGGATCTGCTTTCAGCTGTTTCTGCACATCATACTGACCTCAGTTAAGATACGTGAATTTACTCATAAGGTCAGCTTGGGAAATGAGAAAAGATGGAGTCAAGGGAAAAATTTCCAGTGTGGTGTCTATGGATTCTCCAGTAAAGTCTTGACTTAGGTACAATCAGTTGTTCTGCACAGTTATACAATTGGTTTATTAGCTCCTTTCTCACTTTGGCAACTGAATCTCTGCAAAATCATTGGGGTTTTTTAATGTACTGGATTTCCTGGTTCTTGTCTGAAGGCTAGTAAGCATATGAGGTTTCCCACAAAAAATTGTAAATTTTGCAGGGGGGGGACACTAAAAGCAAGAACTTAGCTCTTGTGGAAATCACATGCAGTCCTAATCAAGACTTGGGCCTGTAGTATCCCTTTATTTGGCCATATTCCTGTCAAAATATCTTCATGGCCCCCCAAAAGTTTCACATATAGATTCTCATTACCAGTGAATTTTGCCATTAAGGGACTTTTTTTTTTCCCCTTTTACTTGAAATGACTTTGATTTCTGTAGTATGCTTGAAAGAGAATAGAAGTTAAATAAAGTCCACATGGGGTTAATGATGGACGCTATACTCTCACACCATGTAAGCAGCCATGGTGTAGCAACAAGCAAATTCATTTAGCTGACAATAAAACAGTCTTGCAATTTCTGAAATTTTAGTTTTGATTTTATTTTATTTTATTTTTATTTTACAATGCCTTTCAACCTTTTTGTTTGTATTCACTTTGGCTGAAATAGCATTAAATGCTGTGTTGTATTTCTGAATCTTCAGGCAACTATGTGGTTTAAAATTTCTATCAGAAAGACTCAGGGAATTGTAGTTTGTTTGCAAGTTAGTAGTGTTGTTCATTGACACCTTTCTTTAAAGGTTCAGGCAGTTTCCACTTTATGAACTTCCTTCTGTGTTCATCACTTATGGTTCCTCCAGGTTGGTGGGTGCGGAGGGAAGTAAGCGGTACTGTGGACTCCAGAAACACTCAGTGTCTGTAACATTGGAGTTAATGTTTAGAAATCACGATGCATATAAAAATTGAGTTGTAGATGTTTTGCTGGGTTCTTAACAGCAGTATTCTGGTTTTGGCTCAGAATGCTCTTGCTGGCTGCCAATCAGCTGTGTAGATGGAAGCCACGGTTTAAGCAGTCTCACAGTATACTGCTGTAAACTGCAAGGCCATCCAGATACTGAGGTGTTTGGTATGCTTGAGCAGTCTTTCAGCTCTGCAGCTTGTCTTCTTCATATATTCCCAGCCACTGCATGGAGAAGAGAACAAGTTTTCCAGCCAACCTCCCTCTTCATGGGAATTAAAAAAATAATATAGATGGGCCTTTCTGTATTAGTATCAAAGAGGGACACTTTTGGTGAGGAATGTCAGAGTTTTGTTGAAGTCCTTTAGCTCATACTGTACTCAGCATAATGAGATTCTCAATGTATCTGGTTTATATTGTGACCTTTAGAATGTAGGCTGCTGGGCTTAGGTTGGGTGATAGCTATCTGTATTGTATATTACCAAATACTGAGATAAGGGCACTCACGTTTATGCATTGTGGCTGTGGACTTTGTCTAGAACAGGGATTCAGTAACGAATCCTCTATTCCCATTGCCTCCTTCCATAAGCTGTTCTACCCACCTAGAAGTATTTATGACTCCTGCTACATAGCTCCACTTGCAAAACTTAATTTCTGTAGCTTTAGTCTAGGTACTGAAACTAAAAGATACAGCACAGGCCCCCCAGAAAAGTGTCAGGTACTCAATAGAATGAAAACATATCACACAAAAAGCTTTAGGAGTTAAACATAGCTGTGTGGTTCCAGTAAAGGATCCTTGACTTGAGTCTGCATATTCAGCCTGAGTGCATATTTAACATGAGTGTCCATACTCTTTCCTAAGGTTAAAGTGTCAGATTAATACCAGCACGGGTTCTAAGTGCAGCTTCAGAGCTTCAGAACCTAGTATCTATACCAAAGTCTGGAGACTTCTGAAATGACGGAAAATGTTTTATTTCAAAGAAAATCCAGATTAACTTCTTTAGGAATCAATTTTAAAAGTGAAAAATCTTTGAGAGATTTTTGTGTTATTTAGTAAGCCTTCCCAGAATGCCATAATTTTCATCACTATTAACCTATTTTTACTTGATAATTCAACTTTTCTAAAACAGAAATGTATTTTATAAATGGACATGAAGCAGAATGGAAACAGTAGGTGTTACAGAGGTAAGTGTTTGCAGGGTGCCATCTGAATTACTCACTGATGTATGTCCTGTAAAATACATTTTTGTCTTGGAGACAATGCAGTGTGGAACAACTGAGATGAGACTGATTAAGCACTAAGCTGTATTATTTTAAGTACATAAACGAGATTCTGAAGACAGGCTGCTGACAGAAGGAATTGCAACAGCTGATATTTTTTTCACCACTGACAAGCAACTCAATACTTAACAAAAACAGCAGTCAATGAGCAAATAGGGAATCCAGCCAAAATCATTCTATACAAAGAAGGATAATAATATTTCTGCTTTCAAGAAAAGCATCTATGCCAAAATGTGACACACAAATAGCAAGAAGAATTATTGAAAAGAAGAGGACACTGGCTTTGTTTCTAGAGAAAGGCATTAAAACTTGGGTTGAAAAGAAAGGAAGATGGCGCTGTGTTGTAGTTTTGGGGTTTTTTTTAAAGGCAGGTACCTACCTGACCTATTTCTATTGCTGGAAATATTTGAGGTGCATCTTGAGGTTACTTAAAATGACAAAGAGATTTACGTCAGCAGAGCTGATTAACAACAAACAAATTATGGTCCCTGGTCTTTCACAAGGTGCAGTATTAAGCAAGGTCTTTCCTCAACCTAAAGGTGATGGAAACAATTCATAAAAACTTTTTTAGGGGTTTGTAGGTGTTAGTTTGATGTAGAACTGACTGATCAGCTTACATACTATATTTGCATACATGCAGGCAGAACACACACAGCTGTAACTGTTATACATTAGTATAGTTTGGGACAAATTTTGAAGCTTTAATGAATTCCATGTTGAGATTGAATCAGTCAGTGTTAAACTAAAAGATTTATGTGTGAGATACTGAGGCATACTAAGACTAGTTTTGTAAGTAAAGAAATTTGTTAGTTGCTGGCATTATTAACAGTGGTTAAATAGAAATCTGCCTTGTTTATGAATAAGGGGTAAGAAGGAAAAGATCCTTGAAAGCAGAAGTGGGAGGGAATTCTTTCAACCATTGGCATTTTTTTGCTGTGCAAGCAAAGATGCAATTTAAAAATGATTAATGTTTATTTAGTAAATGTGCATTTTTCTAGGCACTTGCAAAACTTGCTTGACAAAAGGCAGCTCTTTCCTTTTAAAAATAATTATTATTATTATCACTCAAAAAAGGTCAAAAAACAAATTTTAACTCTGGGGTTTTTTCCTATAATAGATTCTGATGGGTGGCCCTAATCTGGTTTGGTTTAGAGATCTACCACCCACAGTGTCGTGCAAGATCAAGTATCTCCTTCTTTCTGGTCCATGACACACCAGTTTTCATTGGGGAGTAGGAGAGGGTGGGAATGGAAAGAAACTCATCAGTTCCAGGATCTGTGAGCAGACTTTTATTGCATGTGTTTTACAGGCATATCCCTTTCCCACTTTTACCTTTGTCACTATCAATCACAGCTTCAACTAAGAGTTTACATACAACAGCTACTGAAAGTTGCTGATAAGAAAAGTGATTTATCATTAGATCTTAACAGCATTTTCAACTAAAAAATTAAGAGAAAGGAAAAATAATTATGAAATACACTATACTGGAAATAAGAGTACATAAGCATTCACAACAGCCCATGGAATGAATTCTTGCTTAAATAGGTATACATACATAAACAGGGAACTGATGGAGCTATACCACTGCAAAACCAGACTGTGAAAAGAAGCAGTTTCTAAGACCTCTAAGGCCATATTCATCCCATTTAACCATGAGCAGTACACTAAGATCACAGTAGTCTTCTCTTACTGGCAGAGAAAAGAAACAGTTGTTTCAGCCCACCGAGGAGCTCAGTATTCCTGTCTGTCTCCACTGACTGTTAGGGGAGCAGTGAGACTGCTGAATTTGTACAAACTGCAAAGCAATCAAAGAATTTTGAGCCTATTTCAGGCTTTGGCACTGAGCCTGTGGTTCATTTCACTTCTTTCTGCCTAGCTTCTGCAGGTTTTGCGATTTGTTTCCCCTTGCAGTAATTCAGCTTTTTCTTTACTATTTCTAGTTGTACTTGCAGAACTGGGAGACAGGCAGGCTAGGCAATAATACACAAAGTGACACAGCAAAGGAGGACGTTTCACAATCCATGGGCAGATATCCCATGTACTCAGCAATCTTTCTCTAATACGCACATGCTGGGAACGAGACTAAAATTTAATTTAATTCATCACAGCTCGTAGCCTCAATGTAAGACTAAATTTCTTCAAAGATTTTTAAATATAGCCCCAAAGGCCTAAAAAAAAAAAAAAAAGTAAATGTATTCATGCTTACACAAACTAAGAGTGTGTAACTTTCTTTCTGCTTTACTCCAGGATGCTACTTCAGCCTGATGACTCCTTGCAGATTCTAGCACCTGTGGAAGCTGATGTGGGTTTCTACGCTTGCAATGCGTCTAATGCCCTGGGATCTGACTCTGTCTCCATTGCTGTTACGCTAGCAGGTAACAGTTCACTCTCTGTGATTGCAGCATGGTCCCTGCCACTTGTGTGATCCTGGGCAGAAACTGTTTTCGGGCGGAAAAATTGAGGTTGATGATGGGTAGGCAAGGTGCGTCAACAGACATACATTGGTGAAAACACAGGATGTGAACTCTGGAAAACACTAAGCTATAAACCCCAGCTTTCACAGACAGTTCCTGAGATTTTTGCATTTCTGCAAGAGATGAATGCTTTTTCTTACTTTCTGCATCTGACATGCTCTCAAGACAGTGCTTATCCTGGTTATTCACAGCCTATATGGGCAGTGCAGTCCAAGCCATATAATTCATATGCTTCATTTTAAGCCTATTACTGATCTCTTCAAGTCTAACTGACTGATTGAAGGACTTGTTCAGATGTACATTAGGCAAGCCTGAAAAATACCAGAGCTGAAGAGCTAGGCCCTTGCAAGATCAAGCCCTGTATCATATTCGATCCATTGTGGCACAAGCATGGCTGACACTGTTTCAGTTGCTGGCAAAGAGAGGTTCATAAAATTAACTTCTATGTTTAAATTTCTCTAGTAATGGTTGAATTCTAAATCAGACTAGATATCCTTTGTTAGTTTAGATTTCAGTTCTAGATGAAAGTCACCCAAATAAAAGCCAAAGGAAACAGGAGGTAGTGCATGAATCCAACTTCTTCAAGGTTCTCTGGTAGGCAATATCAGCAGGCTCACAATCACATCAGGACTAGCAGAAGGAAAGAGCAGCAAATATGAATGAGGAGACGTTGAGTAAGACAAAGGGACAGAAGACACAGAAGGCAGAGAGGTCTTAGAGAAGGATCCTATTTATCACAAAAGCAAAAGGAAACACATTAGGACTGCTAGAAAGCTTATTGATTTTTCAGCCCTCTTCATTTCACTGATCCAGAATGTGGAAACATTTGGAGGCCTCCAGTGTGCAAACATCAGCGACCATCAGCTGCCAGTGTATACATGTATGATTAGAGGAATGAATAGATGTTGATAAGCTTGACATTTTTACATGAAACACAGAGAAAATTTCAGGTAAGAGGAGTATAAAGAAATCTAGGAACGCAGCAATGGTCAGCAGTGAAGCTCTGATGATCAGTAAACCAACTGGAAGAGACTTTTTCTGTCCCCTAGAAGGAGAACTGCTAAATCCCCCAGAGTGGAAAAGGAAGCTCTGCATCAAAGCTACGTATTACATATAGGCAAAACCAGAATCTGACCCCGATTACACTACTACAGATCAGGAATATCTTTGCTGAATACCAGGCAGTGAAGCAGTGGTGCTGCTGCTAAGACAGTACAGTGTTTTATAAGGAGCAACTCCACAGTAAACCTCTTGTGTTGCACCAGCAATAAGCTAAACATGAAGTTAAAGACTCATCAGTGAAACTGTTATTCTGTCTGTGTTGTTTCAGTAAGTTTAAAAGCCATAGCCTTTGTACAACATAATTTGTGGAGGCAATTTTGTGTGAAGCTATAGAAAAATAAACTAGAGTTAGGTATATATGTGGCACAGGAAGGCTTTTTGATTATAATTAATTGTCAAGGTTGTAGCTTAAACTTTTTAGTTGAATTGACATTCATACATCCCAGACTCAAACTGAACTCTCCTTAGTAACTGGTATGCATTTCTATCTCATATCCAAGGCAAAAAGAGCTGACCATCTTATAAAATGAGGCCATAAATATCAAAATGAGATACCGAGCAGTTTTTGGAACAAAGCAACAACCTTTTGGCATAACGTAAATACTTTCTAAAAAAACAAAACCAAAAAACTGGAAAGCTGAAACCATCTTTAGAGGGATCAGGAGTGGGGCTGAAGGCTTGTTTCATTGAAGGGTTTTCTAATTAGTTTAACACACGCATGGAAAAAAAGACAGAAAATGCATCCGTTTTTCTCAATGGTTTGCTACTCATTTGTGGGCTGAACAGCTAAAAGTTTTTTAATCTTTTGATGTGATAGTAGAAGCCAATCAGGAAACTAAAAGGCTGATGGATAGCTGAAGAATTTTACTTTCTTTTCTTTACGTCTGGATGCAAAGCATCAAAAATTTTGGAGATACTCAGCAATAAAATATAATATTTTACTTTGCTATTCTTAGGTATTAAAAGCACCAAGAGAAAATACCAAAAAAGCCTGAATTGCTATGACAGTAATTCCAGATGAAAGGCATCTTTTCAAAGCCCTGGAAATATATCTATATGAAATAATTTATAGTTAGGGCTGAATTCAATTTTCAGGACTCTCCATGAGCTCAATGAAACCAAATGATTTTTCTTTCCATCTTTTCTCCTTGACCACCTCCAGATCAACACACAAATTAAACCAGTGGTAGACTTTAACCTAAAACTGCAGCTTCTACAGGCAAATGATATCTGAACCTCTGTATCTGACCATTTACTTAAAGGGGAAAAATTCATAGACTTTGGATAAAGATGAGTTTGCAAATCTTCTTACACTAGCCATTCTAAGAAAATTTTCTGGTTATTGTCTGGTCTTCCCAATCCAAGTGTTTCTCCTTTGGTTAAAGAAAACATGATGGATTTGTAGAAACAGCTTGCATGTTGCTCTAAACCTGTGCCTGTAGCCATCACTCAGGCTTCTTTTTCTTGCATCTGGCCTTTGGTAAAGGGTGGTATTTTGGTTTCAGTACCAGGCAAACATCTTGCTGCAGTTCCAGTGATACCAGTGTTTATTGATACAGCTGGTTCTCATGTGTGTCCATATGGCTTTTAATGCTTTTCTTCCTCTGCTCTAAGTATACCCTTTTTTTTTTAAAAAAAAAAAACCAACAAAAAAACCAAACAGCTTTTTCCATGGAGTTTGGTGACACTGTAATATTATAAAGAGAAAGTGGCCTCATACTCCAGCATTTTCTCTTATCCACCTGTCCTGTGTAGGTACTTTCACACAGAGTGTACCAGACCAACTGTTCCATGCCAGTCCAGGGTGCTTGATCTGATAACTGTGGTGCTTCTTTTATGCAGGAAAGCCACTGATAAAGGCATCAAGAGCTACAGTGATCAACACTGAATCGCCTGCTGTCACTGTTGATATTGGCAGCACAGTGAAAACAATCCAGAGAGCGAATATTACCATTAGCTGCCAGGTTGCAGGTGAGAAATTGTTTGATCTCCCATGCAGGTGCCTTTGGCTATAAATTTCTGTGGTGTTCTTTGCTAAATTGGTGTCTTCAGGGGCAGCTGGGTGAAACTGCAAGGTTTTCTTAGGACTTGGGCAAACTACATTGCTTGCATTAATTCTTAGCGTAGAAATAGTCCTCCTTTCATGAATACCAACAGGGAAAGTGTAGTGGCTTAAGAAAATTGGTCTGAGACAATATGACAGACATTTGTTAGAGATATTTAGTGTGATGTGAATACAAATCTGATACACATTTCTACCTATTGAGGATGTTTGGTGAGAATATATAAGCATGGACTGACTCATTTGCATACTGACTAAGTTTTCAAAGCCCACTTGGACTAGTTCCTTCTTTTCCTGCCAAACTCAGATTTTTTTTTAAATTGAGGTCATGTTAGCACACTTGCCTTCTGATTTTTTGTTTTTCATCTTGGGAGTGCAGGAATTCAGAGGAATTCTGCTGAAACAGGGTTCTCCCTGAAACTGTTTTCCAGACAGAGGCTGAATGTCCCTCAGTCTTACAATGGTAGTTTGCCTCTTTCCAGTGGTCACCAATCTGCGTGTTGCAGTTCTACAGCTGTTGGTGGCAACGGTCTTTGTATGGGAGGAGGGTGGGGGAGGAGAGAGAGATGGGAAATCTCTAAAAATCCAGGGTCAGATCTTTGATTCATTACACTTTGTACGTAACATGAGGGGGAACAGAAGGGGAAGGGAGCAGCTTATAAAACAAAGACTGAGCCATACTGAGTGTTACACAAATCATAGAATCATAGAATCATAGAATAGTTTGGGTTGGAAAGGACCTTAAGATCATCTTGTTCCACCCCCCCTGCCATGAGCAGGGACACCACACACTAAACTATGTCGCCCAAGGCTCTGTCCAACCTGGCCTTGAACACCGCCAGGGTTGGAGCATTCACAATTTCCTTGGGCAACCCATTCCAGTGCCTCACTACCCTCTCTGTGAAGAACTTCTTCCTTGTATCTAATCTAAACTTCCCCTGTTTATGTTTAAACCCATTACCCCTTGTCCTACCACTACAGTCCCTAACAAAGAGTCCCTCCCCAGCATCCTTGTAGGCCCTCTTCAGATATTGGAAGGCTGCCATGAGGTCTCCACGCAGCCTTCTCTTCTCCAGGCTGAACAGCCCCAACTTTCTCAGCCTATCTTCATATGGGAGGTGCTCCAGTCCTCTTATCATCCTCGTGGCCCTCCTCTGGACTTGCTCCAGCAGCTCCATGTCCTTTTTATGTTGAGGACACCAGAACTGGACACAATACTCCAAGTGAGGTCTCACAAGAGCAGAGTAGAGGGGCAGGGTCACCTCCTCTGTCTGTCTGTAGAATGCTTCATCCACAGGTTCCTCCTGGTCAGCTGGCCTGCAACAGATCCCCACCGTAATGTCCCCCACTGCTGTTCTTCCTTTGACCCTGATCCATAAGCTGTCTGTTGACTCCTCACCTATCCCCAGACAGAGTTCCATACTCTCCAGCCTGTCACTGACATAAACAGCAACTCCCCCTCCACATCTGCCAGGCCTGTCTTTTCTGAAGAGCCTGTAACCTTCCATTCCAACACTCCAGTCACAGGAATCATCCCACCATGTTTCTGTGATACCGATGGCACTGTATCCCTGTAGCCTTGCACACATCTCCAATTCCTCTTGTTTGTTTCCCATATATGGGCATTTGTATAGAGACATCTGAGCCGGACTCCAAATGAGGCCGACTCAATGGTTGGAGCAGCTGAAATATCTCTACATCCCTCTAAGAACTTATTACAGGTGCTGGCAACTGACCAGGAGTGTTGGGGTGGAACTAAGCCCCCCTCCCCCAACATATCTAGTTTAAAGCTTTCTTGGGTCCCTTAGACCCTTGCTTTAGCTTCTTAACCTTAGCAGCTACTTCAGATGACTGAATAAGCATCTGCTCTGCAAATATACAGATGTTCTTCTTTTTCACGCTTCCTGCTCACTGTAATTACTTAGTGGTTGTCAGTTTTCTTCTTCAAGTGCTGCCAACCCCACCCCTATGCAAATTCTTAAATGAAAAAAGTATTTGGCTGAAGTTTATTTGTTCATCTGTCTTTTAGCAAAGCATGCGCAATAGCTGTGCAGACACTAGACCAGGATCCCAATTCACTAATTAGGCTCAGTGGGATTAATGAAAGAAACATGCAGTATTATTTTTCCTATTAATTCATTAGAGAGTGAATTCAGTAATTCTGTTGCCCTCTCAACACAGAAACTAGGCATTTTCTTGCACTCAGACTGATGTCCAGTGTCTCTCAAGGAAGAAGGAGATGAAAGCTGTTGTATTTTTCCCCAGGCCTCTAAATGGCCACCTGCATTGGCAGTGTTGAAAGAGACTAAATATTGTATGCACATTAATTATTTTAGATTTCTCTCTTTGGGTTCCCTCAGCTGCAGATGGGGAGGCCTCACAGATGTAGACTGTGATTACTGATTTAAGGAGTGCAGCCATTTCTCATCAGTACAAAGACATCATGAAGAGAACAGGATATGGCTGAGCGAAGCTGCCGTAGTTCTTATGCAATCAGAAGACTACAGCAGGGGACCACAGTACAGTCAGGGGCACAGATTCAGTACCTTTTCTGAGAGGAAAATAATCTCTACAATTTTATGAAGCCAACCTACTACCACAATGTACATCTACAATTGAAAATTTTAGTACTGTCACAGCAGAATCAGTGTCTTCATTCCCAGAAAAATGCTTTTTGATATCTAGTAGCATTAAGTATGTTGGATTCTCTGATGATTCAGGAGAAATTTGCCTAAATCATAATTGTCTTCATGGGTGTTTATCTTCTGCATCTGCAGAAAATGTCAACTGTGACTGAAACCAGAGTTTACAGTTGAAATTTTGATAAATTTATAAACCACAAGCTGTGATGTTACGCAGGGAATAAGAGAGTGAGTAATGAGGGCCAAAATATAGGCACTAGAATCCTATTTTCATACAAATACTGCTAGTAATTCAACAGCAGTAATTATAATAAACAAACAAACAAACACAAACAAAACTACGTATGAGAAGAGACCCAGGAACAGAGTGATTTCTATCAACTATCTCTCCTATGCCTGAAAAACATACATTTAATAAAATCTGTTAAAGAATATGAAAATAAATGTCATTTCTGTTCAAAGCACTTTGTGGTTTAGCATCAGGGTTTTGATTATCAAATCTTTTAATATATTTTTACCATTCTACTTAGAATGATTGACTCTAAGGAGAAAAGTAACATGCACTATTGCTTTAGTCAGCAAACGTGTCATATCCTAGTGACTTCTTCAGAGTAGATGAATTTTACAGCTGTGTAGTTTGCCAAAGTTCCCCAGAAGGCATTAACAATGAAATAGCCATCAAATCACATTGTTAATATGCAGTACTTAATGCAATAACATCTGATAATATGTTATTGCGTATATTTCTTCACAAAAGAAATTGGATTGTGAGAATGAATTTAGCACAATTCAAGAGCTAACTAACATATCCACTAATTACGTGGAGATTAGATGAAAAAAATCTTCACACAACTTTGTAAAGCTATAGTCTTTTTCTTTCTAGTACTTTCCCTCTAATCATTTCAGGATGCCCTGAGCCAGCACAGCAACTCCGAGTTGTTCCAAATCAGAATTTGGTGCCTGTTAATCTTATCATAATAAGCTGTGTTGCTATCACTGTGCTGTATCGTGTTTAGTACAAGATCATGCATGTGCTGGATCTTGACGTCTTGGCTACTATAAGGACACATATTTACTGAAAGTCAGCAGGACAGCAGAATAAATATTTATAAGAGAAATAAGTAGCATAAGGATCAGTTGTAACATTTTCTAAAACTGCTTTTGCTGTCAAGGGACAGAAATATACACTTTCTGCTGACAGGTGTTGATAAGCCTAGAGGTTTCTTAAAAACAAGAGATAATGAAAGAAAACATTACCAGTGCCTAGGGAATACTTTTATATTGCTCTTTAACTTCTTATGAAAGCCGTAAGCATGTCAAAATCTGCGTTATGAGCTGAATTCTGTAGATATTAGCTGTAGGACAAGTGAAAATAAAGCCATTGTGAATGCATTAGAGTTTAATTGGCCCCTGATATAAATTGTGCCAGGATGAAACTCTACTTTGGTTATACCACAAAGATGGTGCTGTGGTTTTGTTCAAGCTTGAAAATCAGCCTTATTTCACTTGACATAACATTGCCATTTTGTCTACAGAAGTGAAAGAATATTTTTTAAACATGGTTAGGTGATTGTGGTCAATCCAGACTTCTCCAAAACTAATCCTAAAGGAACTCCCATGCAAAAGTCACTCGGGAGTCTTGCAGATGCCTGTGACACCACCTGGAGTATTTTCTCTAAGCTTCAGAAAGACAGCAGCATTTCTAGTGTGGGCAATTTAATTGCTGTGTGCAGCTTCACTTCCAAATAGGAGATGGGAGCAGTTTGGATCACACTAGTATCACTAGGAAGCTTTCTGTTAACTTCACCACTTGAATTGTGCACATCTTCATTCAGATACCAGAAGCCTTAGTCAATCTGGCCAAAGCTGTTGTTGAAAATACAGCTGGACGTGAAAGGGGGAACCAATTTTTTAAAGCTAGTTCTTAAGACATTTTTTAGTGGTGTCATTCAGGCTGTAAGACTTCTAACATAGGCACCTGTATGCAAAGTGTCATATACCATTAGGCACTGTTGAGTCAGAATGCATTTGGAAGAGTGACTGAAAAGGTATTACCATCCTGCCCTGTATATCATCCTCTCTCTGCTGATTCAGCTTGAAGCTTTTTCAACTTTCCTAAACCTTCCTTTCCTTTGTATTTAATCTATATGCTGGAGGTTATATTTTTCTAGTTCTTATCTTGCTTTATGACCCATATTTGTTCATCAGCTAGACCAGATTCTGACATGCAAATCACTGTTCCAAGAATATTGTGACACTGACAACAAGTCAGCACTGCTAGATCCTTGTTTTGTTATGTTTCCTTTCCCAAAAAGCTCCTGGTTTAGCAAAATTATCTTAATTGGGATATACAGTTCTGCTTGCTACATATCCCAGGTAAGCCTTTTTGTGCTGGCTACATGCACGGTGATGGAGGAGAAAGCTGAAGAAGAACAGACTTGAGTAACTGTTTACCACTTAAAGTCTTGGCTGCCTAGCAAGGTGAGTTTTATTTCCAGCTGGCAGCTCTGAGAGTTTTGGTCTGTGCGATTGTTTCTGCAAGGCAACACACGCGGCCGTCTTTCGCCGTTCACCGTTACTCAACAAAACTGATTGAAATGCTCTTGCTACCCCTTGTGGTAATGCTGCGCAATGATGGGTTTGCTCATCCCTCTGCTGGCTGCCTCCTGTTCCTGTCTTGTGGTTTATATGTGTCACTAGAGGTGGAAGCACAAAAGAAAATGGTGTTGCTGCCTACTGACATATATTGTCTGTCTTCCATAAGCCAAATTCTAGGAACAGCTATACAGGTTATTTTCAAATAATTTCCTGTCAGTGTGGAAACTTCACATTAAAGAGAGAGGGACAACACACTTTGTAGAGTAGCAGTCAGAAAAAGGGGTTTGTATTGCTGCTGGACATTCTGTAGGTACAGTGCACCTTTCCTACACTCAACAGTAATACCTCAAAGAGTAAGAAGTCTTACCTTGTTGCTACTTCTGTTAGTGAAGTGCATACAAGAGGACTTTCTGGACTGACTATCTGAGCATCTGGTTTTAAGCAAATTATTTTGTTCTGTCTTTCTCTTTATTTATTTATTTGGTTGATTTGAGTCCTTGCCCTTGAGAGCTGTGGTCATATGAAATCCTTATTGTCTATTTCCCATCTTCTTTACCCTTCTCAGTACTCCTCATCCCTTCCTTTTCTCCCATGATTTGCACTTATCTTCCGTTATTTTCAAGAAGAACTCAAAAGCTCTACCCAATTTTAGTCTTCAGAACTAAAAAAGAAGATAAGCCTTGGCTGGAATTAAAAAAAGCCTTATAATTTTATAATTTTGTGATTATTTCTGAGATACATTTCTTTATATTTCCATGCCTAAGTTCACAATAGCTATAATGTGAAAGTCTGTGTGCCCTAAGTAGCTTAGACTGCAAGAGAGAGAGTATCATCATGCTGGGATGTGAGTGTTATTCCATCTCAGGGACTGCAGAATTGGTACAGTCTCCATTTTCTCTCCTTTGTTCTAGAGAGCTCACCTCTAAAAATGCCTTTCCCTATAATGGAAACACATTAAACACTCAGGCTTGAATAAACTCTAGGGTTGGGATTGCTTACTATCCAGTGGTTTTCTGAACTCCCCTGAGGACTCTGTGTGGATGCCCTGGAGGAAATTTGAGTGAGGATTAAAGTGATGGTCAGCCCACCCTAGCCACATAGGTCAAAGAGTAGCAGCCAGATGGGGAGCTGTCTACCACTAGCAGGTGGTCAGAAACAGGCCAATAGCTCATCCTTTTTAGAAAAACAAGTTGTAGCAGCACAGAAGTGGGTAAGCCTTTGGAAAACAGTGTCATAGACAAGAATGATTACTTCTCTGGGTATGCCATGGAAATCCAGATTAGCATGTGCTATTTACCCTTGGACAAAGGAGAGAAAAACCCTCCAGTCTTTTACAAGCTGCTTTCTGCTACTTTCTGAATATGGACAAGACCCTCTGCCCTTACAGGGCTTCAGTTTTCCTTCCTGCCAAACTCAGACATACTTATTCCAGATGTCTTGGCAAAGTCACCATGGGAGAGGAGGAAAAAAGGTCACAATGCTTTGATGTAGAAGAATACAGAAAATCTCTTTTTCCCACTTCCATCTGCACATTCTTAGTGAGACACCTGCAATCAGGCAGTCACTATTAATACAGAAAAATGGGTGGTCATATTCAGTAAGCACAGCCTACTGGGGTATTTCTGATGCAAAGGCCACACAATTGGCAGAGTAGAGTTGGGGTTTTTTACATGGAAGCTCAATTAAAAAGGTGCCAGAAATGATCAGAGGAACATGTCTCTGTGATATAAGGCAGGGAAGGATTGAGGTAGGTATCAGATACTTAAGAATAACTTCCTGTATGCATGCATATGTACAGCAGACACAAGGTAGCTGCATGTCTGTGTGACAGAGATTAACTGCCTCCACATACAGAGGGTACCACAAATGGGAGATCATGCACTCCAGCAGTTACCAGGATAAGTAACATTCTATCCTTAACAGTCATGGGTCTGCACAGGATCCTCCCAGGCACAGGTCCATATGTCTGTCCCATCTGTTGAGACTTCCAATACCATTTTCACATAAGCCAATTTTTTAGTACCTAGTGATACTAAATTACCTGATCTGGTATGCATTTAAATCGAGGTAGAAATCTCTCAAAGAAAACACTATCATCTACTTCAAGACCAGAGGTCTTGTCAGCTGCACATCAGAACCCATTCCTACAAGAGGTTATCCAACAAAGATAGCTAGACCTTATTTCCAAGCACAAAAGGAGGCAATTCTTCCTATAGTGGATTATGAATCTATAACAATGTTTTCTGAAGTCTCCTGGTGAGACCAGTGAAACTGCTTTTCTGAAGATGTAAATTCTAATTGTTTACATAACTTCAAAATGGAAAATTGGATGAATTAATAAAATGAAAGTCTGTGGAGGGCTCCTAACTGCACAGAAACTACTTCTGGCTCAGAAAGCTCCTGAGCTGAAACTAATGTGGGGCTGGGAGAGGCACCATCTTATGGCTTCTTCCAAAGACAGGATGCTATGCTAGATTAGGCTTGTTCCAATCCAATAGAGGCTTGTTTTTAGGAGTGATGAGTTCAGAGTTCACTTGTACTATTCTGGGACACTAAAAGCAGAAACTTCAATTTAGTCTAAACTCTTCTGCTGTTTCTCAGGGAGATCGAAGATACAGACAGGCAATGTGAAAGATCTGACTGAACACTTCTGAACTGCAAATAATGAACATGACTTTTAACATGACTTCCTTGGAAGTCATGTTAAAATCTCATTTTATTTGTCCTCTTTCAGCGATTTTGTCTGTAGCAGCTATAGTATCTTACTCGTGTTATGTTTTGTCAATGTTTTTGCAGGTGTTCCTGAAGCAGAAGTTACTTGGTTTAAGAACAAGGTCAAGCTGTCCTTTGCTCATCATCTGCATGATGGGTTGCTGCTAATTCCAAATGTTTCTCTGCCAGATCAGGGGGTGTACTCCTGCAAGGCAGCCAATCTTCGTGGGGAGGTAACTGAAAGCTCCCAGCTGTTGGTTCTTGGTAAGTCCAGGGTATCTTGCACTTGCAGCAATAGTAAGATGGCTGCTGGCACATCTAGCCAGCAGAACTAATCAGAGGATGTGAAAGTGGGGATGGCATAGAGGCAGCCCTGTTCTAAGAAAATAATCAGTCTGCATTTGTTCTCTGGGGAGCATCACTTGAAACAAGGTGATGGTAAAAGGAAGATGGATAAGGAGAAAATGTCTAAGCACAGTGACTGCACCTCCCTATCCTGAGATAGTCCATCTCATTCTTATAGACTTACCAGTTAAGAAAAGCATTAATTAACTGTTTTCTAAAGTATCTTTATTGAAATGAGAATGATGCCACTTTCTTCACAGGGAAGTTCTATGCCTCTCCTGAGCAGCCTTTCTGTACATGGCTATGTGATACTGATATGTTTCACATCTATAAGATGCATAAACCAAGTGTACTTTTAAAAAGCACTTCTCAAGTTCAGTGAATAGTAAAGTTTACTTTTTCTTGGGTTTCTAAACAAGACAGAAAGCATAGCTAGGTGATTTGAAAAGACAATGTCAGCTGTGAAGCATGCTGATAGTAATTGGATGTGTGGGAAAAGGGTTTCCTTTCCTAGTAACTCATCTTCTACCATTTCTCCATGCCTGGCAGATGAATGATCCAGCCAGACTGTGTAAGTGCTTCTGTACATTTGATAGTTAAGTCTCGAATTTTGTAACCTAGTACCTGTTATTGGTGCAACACCATTAAATCATCCATTACAGCTCTCATCTTTCATGACTAGAGTGAGCACAGGACCCATGGATGATGCAGCTTCCAAAGGAAATCTTAAAGTAAGATTTCTCAGTTTCACAGACAACACTAAAATCCTTTTATGGATGTTCACATGATTTCCCTGTGAATCCAGACTGGCTCTAGGAATTCAGTAAAGAAAAATATCGGGGGAAAAAAATTATCATCTGGGTTTCAACCTATAAATAAGCACTCCCGCAAGATCTTTAAATCCTTCTCTGATCTTTATAAATGGCTTAGTTTTTAAAGATGGAAAGTTACTGTGAGTTATGCAAGCTGCTTATGTTTGTAGGCAAATGACATTTTTAGTTCTTTGATGGAAAGAAACAGTTCAAGCACCTATGACTCATACTTCTGGTGGTGAGTGTGATCAGCAATAATAAACTTGCTTAGTGTCTGCCATGATTTAATTGAAAGGGGATGAAGCGACCATTCACTTAAATCAAATATCCCATCATTTCCGTGACAAACAGAATTGGGAATTATAAAAACGGTGTGATTTTTAAAACAGTATGATGGATAGTAAAGAACTAAATCTTGCAGCTCTCAGCATAGATTGATCCTCTTGAGCTCTGAACCCTTAAGTCCTTTGGAGCTTTGCCTAAGTATACTGCAGGATTTGGCAGAGTTATGACCATATTTAATTAGGGCTTGATCCAGGTTGTAGCAGACATTAAAAAGTTTTCTACTGACTGCCATGGACTTTTGATTTAATTTCTATGCTCTATAAATTTGTTCTTTCATCCAAGCTGCTTTATCTCTTGATACCATGAACCTTCATCATATACAAAGTCAATCAGAATGCCATGATAGCCTTCAGAGAGAATTTTTTTTGTGTGGTCATACTGGTCCAGATGTTATTTTAATGATTTTTCTAGTACCCTACCTAACATGAGGCAAAGCACACCTCCAGTAGTTGCCCAAAGTTGCTCAGATTGCCCCTCTGAAATGATAATATTGCAGCATGGAAAATAATGAAGCAATAGCTGGTGGTGGTTTTTTTGATGTCCCTGAGATGTTTTCTGCTATAGTGTTGCTCATCACTTCAGTCTCCCAATCTGTTACCAGAGCCTCCACGACCTCTTCCTTACCTAAAAGACTTAACAGCGGTGCTTTCCAGTGCTGTGACCAGCACTCGTTCAGTACTGACCTCTCCTTCAGGAACAAACATGACCATCAGTCCAGGGAGCTCTGCTCTCATAGGTAAGTCAAGAGCTCTAAATTTTTTTTAAATTAAAAGCTGTTTAGGGTTTAGATTATAGCTATGCATCTGGTTATCCATTACAGTTAAACATCTGGTTATCCAGCCTTGGAGCACTGGGACAAAAGACATCAAACCAACAGTGCGTTGTCAGTCATAATCACTGTCAAATTGTTCTCAGAACTCAGAAGCTCATTTATAAAAAAGATGTCCTTTTATTAGTGGATTGTCCCAAAGCAGCAGCAGAATAAGGGCTCCATTGTGCCTTTGTTACACCCTGGAAGAAGCAGTGCCTGCTCTGAGGGGCTGGCAATGTCATTCAATGCAAGACATGGCAAACTGGTGCGCCAGTTATCTAAAAGAAGAAATGCTTGTGGTTACATTTTTATTTTTCTCTGTGTTTGGGTACAAGACTTTCCATATGCCTGCTATTAATATTGCATATCCTTCTTCAGAGCCTTTTCTATAGTTTTCCTTAGCCCTTTAAACATGTTTTTCTCTTGCAAGTTCTCTGTTTCATTCTGTTAGTTTTATTCCTCTTTGTTACATGACAAAACCAATGTCTGCACAAAGACATGTAAGGAAATAATCCCCAATTAAATGCTTTTTTTTTCATCCTTTTCTGCGTTTGATATCGGTTTCTCCTCTTTACACTGCAAGTTCTGTTATATGCTTTCAAGTCCTTTCAGATCTGTGGCCATGATTAGTTTGCAGGAAGAATCTCAGCCTTCTCTAAATTTCATTTCTCACACTGATCTTGAGCCTCTACTAACTGTCAGGCTCAAATAGGCAAACAGCTTCTCTAATGGTCTTGTTACTGCATATACTGAAATCCTGTCAAGGAAAGCAGTTTCAGGGCACTCTTCTATCTGGTAGGGATCTGAAGCTTTTAGCAAAGGGTCTGTAGATGGCCTGAGTGTTTATAGCTCTAGTCTCTGCAACTTCCAAAACATTCTTTGCTTACGTTTAGTAGCAATTTTAAGATTTTATTTTCACAGTGCAGGCTTTCTATTCATGTTTTTAGATTTGTATGTTTTACTTTTCCCCAGTGCTGATATATGCATATATTTGCAATGGCTTTTAGTGTGCAGCTCTGGATTACATTTCTGCTTGCACAAAAATTACACCAAAATAGTCCTTACTGAGGGAAATATCTAAAGGTATTTATTAGCATCAAATAAATCATTTTGAGTTTGGTTTTATTGTACTTACTGTTGTAAGAATGTGTCACACTCCTGTTACATCCATTTCCCCTCAGGTTTCCAAAAGAGGGCTTTAGTAGTTGTAGGGATATATTTCTTGTTGGAAAGCAGTAATTGAACCACAAAGGTTATTCTGCACTGCCTGTATATAATCACCTCAAAATTAATTTCATTTGGCCATGTCACCCTGCACCCTGCCATTCCACTTCAGGGGCAAGGAAACTCCATGAATCTTAATAGGAAAATAGCAAGCCAGACTCATTCTTGAGGCAATTTAAAACACTTGACTGGTGTTTTACTGACCTGCATTTGGGGCCAATTATTATTGCTGCCTACAGAAACCTCCCGAGATGTTTCTTTCTAGTGAAAAATCAGCATGGAGTGGTCTATCTAATCAATTAGAAAACTATAGTCCAGTGTGCTGCATTATGTTGTATCACCAAAACAAATACGCAAAGCATTCAGCTTCCATGTACATTAACAAAAGAAAGGACTCATCTCTCAGATATTTTCTTCTTAATCAATATCTAGTTTACTCTGTATGCTAATAAGAGTACGGATTACAGTCAGACTCTATATTTACTCCCAGATTTAGTCTCCCCACAGTGCTGTGGAGAGTGGCTAAGGTTATTGTGGGCTACTCTGATAGCTTCATAATCAACTTTTGCTTGGCATATTGCTGCACTGGAAAAAATATCTTCATGTATTTCTAAGTACCAGCTGCAAACACCAATTTGGAACAACTTGTGAACTTTTTAACGTGTGACCCACATCTATGTCCTCTAACCACAACATCCCCTTCAAGCTGTCCACAAATTCTTTCTATTCTGCCACCCAGCCATTGACTTTAATCCTGTTAAGTCTTTCATCATTGATTATGTTGAAGTGTTTGCTCTACATGCCCTGGATGCCCCATGTAAGAACTTAAAAATTTCTGTGTATAGGGTTCCTTGTCTGTGCTACTGCTGACAGGTACCAGCATCTCTTGGGACTCAGAAGGCATTGAATTAGACTTGATGTTTGGAAATCTAAGTATATGGGGATTTGTTGAGTAGAGAAGGAAAATAGGACACGTGCAAAGTAACAGTGAAATGTGAAGAAAAGGAATGATAGCTAAGCTTTTGGGAAACTTTATATGTTAAAGGAGCTAAAAGCTAATTTGAAAAATTATGTTAGAAAATATTCAAGTATGAATTCATGATTTTTTAAGAAAAATGGGAATTAAAACTGCATTAAACACTGGATTTGTGCCTGGGGTGGAGGGAGGAGGGGAGGGTGGAAGAGAGAGAAGGGGAAAATAGAGGAATGACAGAAAATTAAAGTTGCAAATGAGAACTTGTTTGGAAATTAACAACTGTATAAAATATAACAACAATTAACAAGCTGACTTAAAAGGAGAGAACTGGTGCCTCGACATTGTCATACATGACATGCATATTATTCTACAAAGTGGAATTGTGCAATACATTCCCTGTGTTTTCAGCCATTTGAAACAACAAACTTGCTCTCTGGAGTCAGGTCCTATGCATTTCTTCTACACAAATTTCAGGGGTTTGCATGTGGTAAAGGTCAGGGCCATAACACAAATACCTGGTTTGGGGATCTTCTCATTGTCAAGGTTCATCAAGTGGTCATTTGTGTGCCTTTAATATGGGGATAGAGGAAAAGATCTGCTAAGGGCCCATGCCCTGCCCAGTGGAATCAGCAACCTACCTATTAAGATATAATATAAAATACATTTTTGCATGAACTTACAGGAACATTTTTTGTCTTATGTACTTCTTACTTTTCCTTCTAAAGGACTGAGATTTCAGTTAGCTTTCTAAGCCCAGCTCTTCACCCAGTTAGAAAGCATGATAATGGCTTACACAGACCAGTGCTTACCCTTCTGCTCCTCAGCTGTTGGAAGTACATGTAGAGCACTGCAGTTGTCCCCAGCCCTCACATTTGTTGACAGCCTGTGTAGCAGACACTTCAGTGTCATCTGCAGATCACACATCTAAAGGACAGGACTTCCCTCAAAGCAGAAGCTAGGACACCCATGAGCTTAGGAATATTTCTGGGTTTTACAGTAGTGCAAACTGACAATCAGTGATGAGCAACAGACCGTCATGCACTTTCTGATGTCCTTGATTCATGGAAAGTCACAAGAAGACTATATCACACATAGTATAGAACACAGTAAATTTCTGAAGTGACACCAATTTCTATTTCTTTGGAAAGATTTCATGTTAGACCTTAGTCTTTATAAGGTTTCTGTTCTTCAGACTTTTAAAATTTTGAATACAGGTTTCCTGAATTTTGGTAATGAAAATGTTACAAGAACTTCCACCCTTTTCTCAGAAAGAAATTCTTTTGTTTGTCACCTGATAAGACCTTTTATTTTTAACAATATTTATAACCATTTCACTTCTATAAGTCCTGATTACTTTGTGGAATTATCTTTTTGATTTAAAGGAATGTCCTAAGTTCATGTATTTTCAATAGTTTCTTTGTTTATGCTACAAGTATAACTGTGGTTTTTTGCACAACTCCCTGGACACGTTTCCATGGGTCTTGAGCTTTGTAAATGTTAATTTTGGCAAAACTGAAGTTGTAGTACCTGGCATCCCTGACTTCTAACACTCGGAAAAGGCTTTTTCTGAGCCTTTCAAGAAGGCCTATCAAGAATACTTGCTTTCATTTGGGTTCAAACTTCTTGTTTCCTGTATTTGAAGACATTTCAGTGAGAAAATCTGAGGATCTTGGAAATCCTGGTGGGGATCCACTACAATTTCTCATATTTATTGTGATGTTACTGGAAACCAGCAGACTTGTCAAAAGATACAAAATATGATATAAAGATGTCTCCTTAGCACAGAAGAATACTGTACTTATTGCAGATATTTACCATGGTGAAAGCTGAAGCTTTAATGACTTTGACTTACATTTAAGTGAGGATTCTTGCAGGAACATTGGAAAAAGGTCAGAAATGAATACATCTAGGAATATAGAAATGTGGGACTACCTATAAAGTGTCACAGTGAAGGAAAAGAAAGTTGCTTGTAACAGCAAGTATTTCTTGTCATCTGTTGCTTTATTTAAATGTTTTGTGGCAGATGAGCTCTGAGTAGCACAGAAAATGTCTGTGAACACAGTTGATGGTAGATTTTTCCCCAGACCTTCAGGTCCATGTCCCGGTGGTTTTTTGGTTGGGGTTTTTTGGGGCTTTGGGGTGGTTTTTTTTGGGGGGTGGGTTCAGAAATCTTGATTGTATGTGATTTCTGAAAACACAATGTGCACTTGGGGATATGCATAATGAAGGAAGAGGGAGATGGGGGATTGCTGCATAGCACAATGTATATAATTAAATAATGGGTTTGGACTGTATGAGGCATCGAAGAGAAGAGATGCATTTTCATTTTGGATTGTAGCACAGGCCCATGAATTTAATGAGAAATGGGGGCATTAACTGTTAAGATGGCTAGGATGTGAAATGAACTGAAAATCTAGTTCTTACTTAGCACAGTGCAAAACTTAAGCAATATATATAAAAGAGAAAAGACAAACAACAAAAATTAAATATTGAGATAATGGTAGCTGTTGTGTATAGCTGCAATGTATATAGCTAAGGATCACTGTATCCTGAGCAAATGTTCACATTTTGGCAAAAAAATAGCAATTTTTTTGAACAAAGGAGGAGGTGTCATCATTATATAAAGTCTTGGCCTTTTTTCTGTTTTTATTCTTTGGATAAAATGAAAGCAATGCAAATCCTGGATTATAATGGTTATTCTAGCAAATCTGAATATATGTCTAAA